ATATTGATAAATTTTAAATATTAAAAATATTAAAACTGTTCAGGATTTGTCATCCTTATGTCGTATCTCAATACGCGAGTCACACCTATCTTCTTCTATCGGAGTATTCTTCCTACTTTCGTGTGTGTATTGTGCTTTGTGTTGTGTCTTGCTCCTGTGACTGTGTGTGTTATACTGCTGGGCCTGCTGGGTATGTGTGTGTGGGTATATGACGAATATATATTTTAGTATAAAGACAACAGGGCATGCAATGAAGTAGTTTGATGTACATCGAAAAGCACCTGAAGATGGCACTTTTGTGCTGAAACATGTAGTGCAAGAGAGAAGAGTAAGGCGAATAAATGTATGCACTGTAAGACGGTTGAAATAGATTAATGTTAATAAATAGTCGAACATATATATCTGGGAACAATATGACCATGTTACAACTATTCCAGGATCCTTACTACTCTTGTAGTTCTGTGCACACTGCTCTGGAGATGACTGCATGATTGTGGTATATGTACACATCCAATAGCCACACATATAGAGAGATACAGGGTTTCATCCTCAGACACACCCCCACCCTACTGAACCTAACATGGGTCTTGTTCCTAAATGCCATCTCCCATTGGTCTAGATCCAACAGCCACAACACATAAATCAGACCAAAAATCCCATGGTAAACTCATGAACTTTATTCTGAAGACAGAGATTGCAACAGAAATTTACCTCACCATAGTATGGTGTAATCAACAAAAACAAAAAAATGATGGCAAATTATACTTCCAAGAACATTATTCACCAATAAAGCCCTAAATAAACAACACAATAACAAGATTTGTAATGTAAAATTCATTCAAATTAAAATTAGAACTGGAAGTTACATAAAGAAGTCATGCCACAAACCACACAGCAGACCACCTTAACCTAGACATTATCTGCCTACAATGGTGAAACAGTTATTCTGCCCAGAGATATAAAGTGAACAATCTGAATGCCAAAGTCATGCCTGGACAGGTAAGGGAAGGCAGAACAACTTTTCAATAACAAATTCATGAAGATAATTTGTGATCAAACTGCAGAGGGTTAATGGCATTATGCTAAACAAAATTTCCTTTATAGATGTCCAAGAAACTATATTTCAGACATCATTCTAATATTTCGCTGTGTAACCGACAGATATTAACTGCTTAAAAGGAAGAACAATAAAAATAACAACCACTGAAGTCTTGGTCCTTTGGATTGCCAAAACTTGTTGATCTGGAGAAAATTTGATTGACATAACAGGTCCCTTGTCTTCCATGCAGAAACTTGTTGTCATTTGCTCTGTAGGGCCTTTGACAACCACTCCAGTAACACCACCTGAACGGACTGCAAATACCTAAGGAACAAAACCGCAACATATTTACGTATATAGCTGCATATACATAAGCTAATGCCTAATCAATCGTTTCGTTACCTTCAATGCATTTGCAATGTGGTTACCTGTTTATTAGAATCATCAAAAAATACATTTGTAACCTTGCTAACAGATTCAAAACGAATAGGTGTATCACACAGCTCTAAATAGTAATCATCAGAAACGTCTTCTATCATTTCGACTGCATTTACAATTTACGACTTTAGTGGCGTGTAATTTCCTTACGCTCCTTAGTATCGCCCACTACGTTCCATTTCTTCCCGAACAGTATCCGGTTCCGGTAGTAAACGAGAGCTGTCAGTAGCACAAGTAGTGAATGGGTTTGTCGGTCAGTATTGTATTAATTGTACTGGCGCTGATTATGACACAAAAAAAAGAAAACTGTGTATTTTGTCGAATTTGTAATGAAGAAGAACAAAGTGAAATTCTATACAAGGTATGCAGTATTGTTAAAAGTAGGATGCACGATGTGGCTAACTCTAACCTGTGCTTCGTTTCACAAGTTAATTATGTTATTGATAATGCAGAACTTAAAGTTTGTTACAAATTAGATGGCAGCCTGTTTACTGACTTACAACCACGGAGCACTAAATACAATGTCTTCAATTTTGAACTACGTTTAGGACTTTAAAAAAAATGTGTCATCGTGAAAAAAATTCATAGTCACAGAATTGGAACCGTGAATGTCATCATGAGAGTTGTAAGCGTTGTAAGTGCCGCATCTTTACTTGAACTGCTGACGATTTATGGACAGTTATAAACCATCTAACATGTCACGGGCCGGGATATTGAAGTCCTTATTTCCTATTAGATGAACGGAAACATTATAGCAACCAATACAGTTCTGAAAATCCAGTCTTTGTGACAGGAAATCGAGAAATGGAGTAAGAGCTATTGTCTTAAAATCTGCAACTCTACACGTTTATAAGTTAAATGGATGTCTTTTCAAAGAAGGCACCCTCTTAATGGATGCAAACTTTAACAATTTGGAAGTATTCCTCGCAGAAAACTTGTTTCAATTATGGCTGAATTTTCTTCATCTTAATACACATACATAATAAATAGATAAGTGAAATATGCTGTATAATTCCACAATATTTACTTCTTAAAGATCTGGGTATATTATATTTTTGCCAACCTTAAGCGTACTGTGCTGTCTACAGATTTTATTAAAAGAAATTGGTGCCTGTTAAAATAATTTAAAGTGGTGTAAAATGATTTGTTGCATGTCATAGTGTTCTTTTTTCTTGTGTTCTGTTTCTTGCAGCAGTGGGTATTTCATGAATGGTATCCAATACAGCTGGTGCACAATATTGTAATACTGTATAGCCTGTGAGGACTGTATGTCCACTTCCAACACCAGTTTTCATGATTTTAGTGACTTTAGATGGGCTTTGGATTGGTAATTGGATTTATTGAACTCTTACAGATCTGTGGCTAAAAGTACTTATAATGCTGTTGCTAATCTGCACATGTTGCAAATCAAGTACAGACTAAGTCTCCATCTGTTATAGTCTTTTCCTGGTAGCTTCTGTGTTCAATTTGTTGCTGTCAGCTACCATCTCATAGCTAACTTCGGTTGGTTGGTGTGTCACTTAAATTCCTGCTGGACCTAGACCTGGTCTTGATCTGCCCTACTCCAGCTGCTTCCTCGTTAGCGCTGCTCATCTCAAGACACATTGTCCATTTATGTGCATGCATCTCTGTAGCCTGCTTCTGCCACCTGCAGTCTCCAGGAATTGTTATGTGTACCTCCTTTGGGGGTCAAACTGGCATTCTCGCCCAACACATTCCATGTTGATGGGTAGCAGGTGTTGATGCTTTCTGTCTCATTTTCGACACAATCTCCAACATGGCCTGTGTGGGGTTATTGAATGATGGTGTATTAGCTGTTTACTGCCAAGGTTTTGTTGGTTCTGACACTAGCAAAAATTCTGTGAATTTCTGTATCACACAATTTGACACACATTGCACGGGCACCACTTGTTGATAGTTGACTGGCATATTAGTAGGCAGCTTACAGTTTAATATTACTCGATTCTTTACCTGCTTTTCAGGATTGAGAGGTATGATTTTCTGCCAATTAAACCATTGGTGTAACGGGAATACTGAAGAAGTTGGCAAGTTCTGAGTCGTCCTATTACTGGCATAAGGTTCCCGTGGAATATTGCAAATTCTTTTCTTAGGCTTCAGTCCCACTATATTTTCAGGATCCTCTGTTGCTCTGTGCTTATTTCCATGTTTATTGTTCTCAGTAACTCCTGCAAGTGGACTATCTCCAAACACAAGCTTCCCATTGTCCACACAACCAGAATCTTCTATTCCCTGCCTCAGAAGTTTTCTACAGTAAGTGTAGCCTGGCATTGTTTCAAAGCCAAGACTAACTGCATGCTGGAAGTACTGGCTCAACACAGGTGATGGTTCCAAATTAGGAAAACCCCAGAGCATGAGCAGAGGAATACTGGACATGAAGCCCTTCTTTTTAAAATGGATGTACTTTGGATCATTCTTGTTGTCACATGGCAGCTTTTCACACAGCCACTGAAGTGTGTTATAGCCAAGGATTTCAGGTTTCCACATCTTGAGAATGCACTGGTATGAGCATCTCTGCTGGTATATTCTGAGGTTACAGCAGGCTCTACCAAAATCTGGTAGGCAAACACAATTCTTTGAGCCTTACAATAATACCCCAACAAGCAGACTGATCAATACAAGGGACACATGACCAACTAAGGTGAACTACACACAAAGGGAGCACAACATGGATGCTACAAAATGAAAAAATAAAGTGGAGAGAAAAGAGAGTATTTGTGCTCACACAAACACATTTTAGTGCAAATGACAATATGCAATAGCATGGGATGCACTGGCATACAGATTGGTGCAGTGCGGCAGTTTCAATTGGTGAACAGTTGCCTGAAGGTGGCCATATAAGGCCAAAACATGTTGCAGTTGAATGTGATTTTAAAGGCTTTCTAAAATAAAGGAGAGATTGTGAACAGTGTGAAGTTGCATTATACATGGAAATGAGTGAATGGTTGGTAATATAATTGTACAGTTAGTTATTTATGTAATCTGTATAACTGACTTTGTAAATGTAGGTCAATTTAAAGGGGGGTACAAGGTTTAATTCCCAATGAGATCATTGGATTCTTCAGTGGACCTAATCTTTTCATCCACACTGTGGCCCTGGTGTCAACTCAGGCTGTAACAGAAATGAGTACCAGGAATATTCCTGGGGGTAAAGGGCAGCCAGAATGTAAGGCTGACAACCTCACTGCCATCTGTGTGCTGACTGTCTAGAAAATGTGGGAGCTTCAGTGTCTCACAACTTTATGGGCATCCATGGCCTGTTACAGGGATAGCTTTACCTTCTTTTTTTTTTTTATAGATCACTGAGCCAAACATTTGCAGAAAGGAGAAGGGTGAGGAACGTGAAGCTGGAATGTGGTTGTACATTCTGAAATATGCAGTCACTTGGTTTGGTTAGGTTAGTTTCATTTTGATTATGTGAGGTTAATGTTTCACTATAGCCCAGCAAAATTCACCACATCATGTGTGACACAATTTCAGTGTCCATCCAGTTGCTGTTACAATTGTCTCTCACAGCCAAGAAGAAAACATCTGGACTTAAAAGTGGTACTTTTTGGAGCAAGTACTTCAAGTGCACTTGTCACCATATTCTGAAGCTGTACATATTTGTATCTTTTAGAATTGTATATATGTGTGTGTGTGTGTCCGCATGTGCATGCACTGTGGTTATAGTCTTGTTTGAAATTTTTTTATATCATAAAACACCATAAGATTGCAAGAAACTTAAATGGGTTATCAGCCAAAGATGAGACACATTAGGTATGATACACGAGACACAGGATAAATATGTTAGCGGTTCTTTCCAGTAGTACTCACCCACCAGTATGACACTCACATCTGTCTTACAATATTTTTTGTAGGAAGATGTTGCATACGGAAATGAGGGAGGATCAGGGGTTTGCAATTTCTTCTTTTCAGTGAGTGAAGAACCGTCCATGTTTATGGAACAGCTCATAAAAGAATAAAGGTAAGAAGGTAAAGATGTCCCTGTGACAGGCCATGGAGGTCCATAGGGTTGTGAGATGTTGAGGCTGCCACATTTTTTAGACAATCAGCTCACAGATGATGGTGAGGTTGTCAGCCTTATGTGCTGGCCGCCCTTTACCACCAGGAAGATTCCTGGTTCTCATTCTGTTAAGAGGCTGAGTCGTCCCCAGGGTCATATAGCAGCTGGAAGGATTAGATAAATTGCAAAATCCAGTGATGTCACTGGGGGTTGAACCAGCGACTTTTCGGCTTGTAGCATAGTGCCTCACCCAACTACGCTAATGTGTGCCCCCATTAAAAGAATATAGCAGATCGTGACAGACCATTCATGGAATGCTATGAAGGGGAAGTAAAGATTTAGCTATTCCTGATTTATTATTTTGCTACACTTCACAAAAGAAAACACAGTTGCTTCAAAAGTGTAGTGAATGACAGTCATATATAATGAAATGAAATAACTTGCTCATATTTTCACAAGCCAAAAACTAGCATATGACAGATTGCGTAATTCTGATAAAAGGTAAAGCTATCCCTATAACAGGCGGTGGATACCCATAGGGTTGTGAGACGTCTATGCTCCCACATTTTCTAGACAGTCAGCTCACAGATGGAAGCGAGATTGTTGGCATTACACATCGGGTGTTCTTTACTCCCAGGAAGATTCTTCATACTCATACCTTTATCATCATTTGAGGTTAACAAACAATAGTCGATTCTGTACATGAATTTGATTTTAGCCTGTAATTTTGACTGATACATATTCTTCCTTCATAGGCACATCTGAGAGAACTCATCATTTTCATAAAATAAGTTTGCTTTCTGTACATTTTCTTCAGGAGTTATTTTTCCTAGATTCTTTTCTGGTTAAGCTAGAATGCCAGCTTCCTGCTGTACTGCACAAGATTTACCATGTATTTAGATCTTTGAANTCGACAAAACCCGACTCGGCGACTGCTAGATTGAAACAGATTGGTTAATCGTTACTCACTTTTCGTAACTGGCTCAATCCTCACTACTCCTGAATCAAAGTCAAAGTCACATTGCGACTGACGGTCGGTCAGTCTGTCTGTCTTGGTGTCGAGCCCCGACTGGGGCTTATGGCCAGGTTTGTTTTTTCTTTATATAAAAGTTACTGTCCTGTCCTGTCCTGTCCTGTCCTGTCCTGTCCTGTCCTATCCTGGCGAGAGGTCTGGTCTGTCTTTTGTCAGTCTAGTAAATCCATTGTCAGTATTTAGGTATATTTACAAATTTAATCTTAATTTCTATTTCTGTGTACAATATATACAAGGTCTCTGTAAATCCATGCTTAGTACAGCAGATGTTGCCCAATTTCTAGTAGTATTCGCTACCACAATAGTCTAGTCACTATAGTGTTCGCTGCTCCTTATTCAGGCTGGACACGGACAACAGAGAACACCTTGCTGCTCGGCAAAATATCAGGTACCGTTGTCAGGTGTTTGTACCTACGCATTGCCTAGCAGTAGTCACTGCACGGAGTCGCCTGTTGCTTGACGTCACAGCCTCGCGAGGAGGGGTGCTTACCGAGCGTTGCGTAATGATAGGATGGGAGTACGTGACGTCACTCGATAAAACGCATAGTTCACTTGACCCCCACTTCCCGTTCCGCCATCCACGTCACAGTATGTTTTGGAACTTTCTGTTTAGCCCAAAGATTGCCTGTAGAATATGAAGGAGTTCTAAGAGTACCGGATATTGTTATAATTTTTGTATTACTTCTTGCAGTAGAAATGAGAAAGAGAGGAGAAACCTGCAGCGCTTCTGAGTGCATGTCATCCCGTAGACAGGAAGAAGTAAAATTCTTCGACATTCACGAGGATCCAGCACAGTATGTCTGTTTTAATTCATGGTGTAATGGCCTTGTTACTTGTCGTTTAACCCAAGGAAGAAATTAAGTTAAGGTTATGTCTGCATGTCCCGCTGGACTCTGACCCGAGAATGACTGCTCTGGCGAGGGCCACCATAAATTGTAAACGACAGACCCATACTCTCGTTACAAAGAACACAACACATCAACGAACACACCACTGTCTGACAGTAATAAAAATCTGATCGTAAGCCCCAGATGGGTGTTTTATTCGAAGACAGATTGGCCGACTGACCGGTGGTCGTAACATAAGACGCGACTAGACTGGACTCGAATTCAAGGGAGTAGAGATCAGTCCGAGATTAGTGAGAGATTCGTCAGACAGACGTTGTTCAGGAGGAGTTGAGCGTGTGAGCTGTTATAATTGACCGTAACTGTAAAGAAATGCGAGTAAATCCAATAATCTAATGAACGCCAAGCAGAGGAGAGAAAACTCTGCGACTTCCTGATAACAGAACCGAGAGGCCTATCTCGTCGAACCCCTGTTGCAGTAAAGTTGTCCCTGTGCGTAATTAAGCACCAAGACAAAGACTCTGTTGATGGAGGTGTAGCTCCCAAACATTCGTAACTTCGACGCTAAATGTAGGTTAAGGGAAGAGCTTCACTCTCCGGCTGCTTTAAATCCTCGGAGATGGTCCCTCTGTACTCATGTAAGAGGCTGAGTTCACTGATCGCCCTGGAGTGTTCATCACAGAGGATTTAATATTTGGTGCATTTATCGCCTTTTCTGAATTTTGTTTTTCTTTTGCCCCGAAAAAGTCTGTGGATGTGGCAAATTTCTGGCTGCCCTCCAGCCCCACCCCACCCCACCCCACTTCTATCGGTGCCAGCACGTCCATCCTTTCCTTCATTTATCGGCTGGACAAGAAATGTATGTTTTATTGATAAAAACGGCGACAGGAGACGCTTCCTGTCGCACCCTCCGTCAGGTTTAGAACATCATGTACAGACTGTCTTGCTAGAACTGTCCATTTTTGTGCACGCGGGGAGAGGCTGTGGTTACAGTTTCATTGCGAGACGGTAGCAGCTGACGTAATGTTTTTTTTTT